TGGTGGTGGTGATGGTGGTGGTGGTGGTGGTGGTGGTGGTGGTGGTGGTGGTGGTGGTGGTAGTGATGGTGGTAGTGGTGGTAATGGTGAGGGTGGTGGTGATGGTGAGGGTGGTGGTGATGGTGGTGGGATGTGCGTGTCAGAGTTGGGTGGCTGGAAGAAAGGACATCACTACCCTACCTGGAAAGACCCAGATGTAAAACTCTCAGGGGCTTTTACTTGCTCTGGTATAAGGTTCAGTTCCTATGGAAGGAAACAAAGCAGCAGCATCCCCACCCATCACTCCATGACAGCCTCTTCCTTGAGCCACTCAGTGTCCCTGAGCTAGACACCTGGAGGGTGAACAATTGAAGACCCAGCTCTCCAATGAGAGCCTGGAACACGGACAGTCAGGGTTCATGGCTTAAGGAAGATTCGTGGGCTTTGGGTCGCAAACAATGGCGACAGGGTTGACTTCCTCTTGTGAAAGTGGGAATGAGCACCCGGCCCACAGACGGCCTGCACGGAGGGAAGACAGGTGCTCTCTTCCTACCTTGATGGTTTTTCCCCAGGAGCAGACCCAGATGAAGTCCTAACATTAGCTTAAGTGTAGGCTCCAGTGCCTTTTATAAAGTGAAATCCAGAACTGAGATCAAAGCGAGCAGGGAAACCTGGAGCCCAGCAGCCCAGAAGGCACAAAGGACTAAGCCAGACCCATACTGAGTTCTCAGTGCAGCCGGTAACTCGGCGAGAACGTCCCCGATTCCCAGGTGTGGGCTGCTGGGCCCTGAAACACCACCAGGCATGAGAATGAAAGAAAACAAACGAAACAGCCAAGCGTCTGGACACACATGGGACAGAACAAAGCCGTGTGCCTTGGCCAGAACCCCACTCAGTCTTTCTCACATCTGCTTCCAACAAACGAGGAAGGTTATGGAATCACGCAAAGGTTTTACGCTTTTTCACAAAAACTGCTTGACAAGTGTGAAATATTAATTCAGTCTGTCCAAAAGGAAAGAAAATGATTAATAAAAGAGGTAGGGAGATAATGTGGGGAAAGGTAAGGTTTTCCTCAGGTTAAATGAGTTGAGAAATCATTACAATTCTTATTACTTTGAGCAGGGCTGGAAGAAACTCCGTCCAAGAATGCAAAGTTCAGGATGTGACAGAACCATCACTTCTAAATTTAAAGAAAACCTCGCATTTTCCTTTGCAATCCTTTCAATAGAAGCGGGTGATTGCCTCCCCAGGACAGACAATCACGCACCGTAATGACCACAATGCATGCTGATTGCCAGAGGGCCCCGGTGCGCGCCCAAATCACAGACCAGGAGGCTCTGCGTCGCTCCTCCATGATCTATCGCCCGTGCCAGATGTCAATTACCACTCTCTCTGTAAGGGCTAAATCTTCCTGTCTTGTCACGGCGCCGTTTTAATTGGCTGCAACCTCCCCTTCTCTCGTCGGGGAGGAGAGGATTCAGAGGGGGCAGGGCCCGCAGACAATGACTAATGTGACAGTTTAATGCTTTTCAGGTTCCACTCACCGTGCTGTGTGAAGAGGTCACTGTGGACGATTTCGATCAAGCAGTACAGCTTCTGAATGGTCAGCAACCCCACAGGAACATTTAGGATGAAATCAGTGAACATTTTGCTATGAGGAAAAAAAAACAATGGAAAACATTTAGGGAAATACAGCAAAGTGGCCCCAAGCGCTACAAGGCAGTCTGGAGGGACGCAAGGTCATCCGATGGTCGTTCAGCGCAGCCAAAATGCTGGCTAGTGGTCATTACGCAATATGGGCCAAAACCCTGTCCCAGGAACGACAGCTTAAAATGTTACTTTTTCACTTCATGCCCACTAGAATGACTCTAGGATGAAAGACAGACAATAACTGGAATCAGCTGGGATGTGGAGACGTCGGATGCCTCGGGCCAGGCGGGTAGAACGTAAGACGGTGCAGCTGCTTTGGAAAATGCTTTGGCAGCTCTTTGAAATGTTGAGAATAGTTACCACCTGAGCCAGCATTTCCTCTCCCAGGTACATACCCAAGAGGAATGACAATGGAGCCACACAAAGCCTTGTACAAGGACCACAGCAATGTGATACTGGGGAAGCAGAAACAGCCCAGATGTCCATCCGCTGGTGGATGGACAAACTGCAGTCTGCCCATACAGCTCATCCGGGAAAGGGTAAACTCTGACACAGCCACAACACGGATACACCGTGAACTCATCACGTAAGTGAAAGAAGACAGTCACAATGTGCCACACACTGTATGACCCCATTTATACGAAGTGCCCAGGAAAAGCAAATCTGCAAGTACAGAAAGCAGGTTACAGAAAGCAGGTTAGGGGTTGCTTAGGGCTGGGGGGGGGGTGACTGTTAATGGGCACAGGGACCTTACTGGGGTCATGGAACTTTTCTAACATCTGATTATGGTGACGGTCTCACAGCCCTGTAAAAACACTGAAAGCTACGTAACGGAACATTCTAAAACTGGTGAACTTTATAGTAGATAAATTACATCTCAGTAGCAATGTTTTTAAAAATTTACCTTTACAAAAAAAGTGTTAGAAGTGTTAGAAGAGTTCTTCTCAGTAACCAACAAAATGCAAATTAAAATTGTGGATCCTTTCTCGTCAATCATATTGGCAAAGTTTTATACAATAATAACTCCAAGTATTGGCAAAATTTAATAATACAAATACCAAGACCTTTTGGAGGGCAACTGGATGGTAACTATCGAAAATCTTTTAAGAAAATGCAAGACCTAGTCACTCTACTTCTGTTTATGCTAATGATATAAATAAGGGCAGATGCTACAACTAAGCTACAAAAATTCTTATCCTAGCATATGTCACAATAATAAAAAACTGGACACAATGTAGCACCCCTTAGTGCAGCCCAGGGCCTGTCCCTTGGAGTCACAAAGCCTGGGTCGTCTGAAAGCACAGCCCCTCTCCAACTAGGTCGTCATGAACACCTGACTGAGCACTAACATGGGCTAATAACAGCACCTATGTCACACCAGCACTGTAAGATTAATTGAATAATACGTGGAAAGCGCTCTGTGTGAGCCTGTCTTCTGCGGAGAAAGCACATAATCGATGTGTCTATTGTTGCTACTTAGATAAATGGCGGGCCAGCGTGGGGTGGCGCACAGCGAAAGCCATTAGAGATTATGATGTGGAAGACTACCTCGTGCAGTGGGAAAGCAAGGCGTCTTAAGTGCAGGGGACGACTGTAAGGTAATGAACATAGTGCTGAATTTCTTAGGGGTGTGTGTATGTGGGGTACACTAACGAGAGCTAGAAGGATCCAGGTCCATGAAGCTTGAGTTCTCCTGTGATGCTGTTTCATCAAAACAGGAATCACCTTTCTAGATAGGAAAAAATACACACATGGTGTTCAATGTCGTCTTCTTTTTTAAATCAGTAGAGAAGGTGCTCAAGAGGCTCACACATGCATAAAGAGCCATGGGACCAGGAGCGGACTGGGCTGGCCCTGGGGAACGGGTCATCTTTGGATCTGTACCCACTGGGCTATAATCTTTCCAAAGAAAACACTGTGACTGTTGATGGACGATGTCCTTCCCTTATAAAGTCATGATCAGTGAAGTGTCACGGCCACCACCACTAGCACGCGTTCCAGAGTGACTGGGGCTCCGACCTCAGCTGACCTGAGACAGAACCCAAGCATCCCACAAACCAAACACGCTGAAGAGGAGGCCCGGGAGGACCTTGGAAACCCTTCAGGTCCCTGGGGCTTCTTACCTGAGCTCTTTCGGATCAAACACCAATTTCACATCGTTGACGATCGTTGGCAGGTATTTCAGTGCTGCCCCCTGCAAACCAAGACCAAAATGATTGCTGAGCCTAATGTAGTTTGGAAAATGTTAATATAGATTTATGATTCCTGTGCAAAACCACACACATACCAAGAGGAAAAAGATCACTTTCTAGGTGAGCAGCTGATGGCTACACATGAAGAAAAAAGAGCAAAGAAAAAACCCTATGACCCACAAACAATAGTGATTTGTTACAATCAACACAGAACGCTAACAGCATTATTAACAGAAGCCCGCACTTAGTGCCTGTTGACCAAATGCCCACACCGTGCCAAGCGTTTTCTCCTTAACCGTGACGCGGGACGGCACGGAAGATCTATGCCCTCAGCAGGGTCCCTGACCATTCGGACCACTGCAGCTCTGCCACATCCCGCCACTAAAACGACTGTCTGTGCGTCACTCCAGCTGTCCTGCTGTGTATCTGTGCAGCCCTTAAATAGGAAACATTCTTTTCTGTAGTAACGTTATCTCTTATATTGATATTATGTATCTTCTAGAAAAGCTACACTTACAAAAAAATAGAGTGATGGCAACAATGATGCTATTCACTATGCCAGGATCCTTTTATATTGTACCCTTAATTCCAACAGGCTCCTAATAGGAACTTAGCAGAAGGTAAGGAAACTGACAGTGAAAATGTCAATCGATTACTTTGCCCCTGATCACACAACCAGAATTGATCTGAGCTAGAGTTAAAAGGCAGTTCTGTGGGAAGCCAGAGCCTCCGCCTCCTCACCGATACCCTATCTGTTGGGAAAAGTTCCTGGACTTTAAGTGTCCTGACCAGACTGCCCACCCCCAGCTATCACTCTAAGTGACCCCTTCCACCTGCAAGGGGAAACCACCACAGACCTCAGCGCTTCCCAGGCAGGATGATAAAGGAGCAAAGTTCATGCTACAGAATCATTGACTTTTCCCCACAGATGCTATCCAGTGCCCGCCCACCAGATATCAGTATCCCAACTACCTACTGTGAGATGCAACTTTTGAAAAGAGCATTAAATGGAAACAATTTCATTCTGGTTTCAAAAGTCTTGCTTTGACAACCTTAAAGTTGCTTTGAAAAACTAAACAACGTTTATCGTGACATTTAATAATAAGCGTTTGCACAGCTGACTGCTCGGACCCTAAAGCGTCTCGTTTAGTCTGTGACGGTCCGGAGGGTGAGGAGGACATTAGAGGACATTGTCATTGGGCACTTTATCCTGTACCCAACTGAGCAGCATCTGCCTACAGCAACTGGATCGATGCTGTCGCAGGACAAAGCAGGCAGTGACAAACTAGACAGGCCTTGTGGCCCACCTTCTGTCAGAGGCCGCCGGCGCTGGGTTAACCAAGGAGGCTGACAACCCCCACCCAATGCCAGGGTCTGTGCTCACTGTGACCCCCAAATCACAGTCAAGCAAAGCGGTGAACCTCCATGACACCCAGACAGACAGAGCTGCATATAAAACCCCTCTTGATTCTCAAGAGACATCCCAGCTCTTTCCTTTCCACCTACAGACGTCACCATCCTCAGCTCCCAGGAGAGCTGGGCTCCCTCCAGCTGGAGGAGCAGCTGGGAGAGGCAGAGGGAACCCGGACACACAGCACCGCAGGCTCTGACTTCCTCACTAAGCCTGTTTCATCTCCACTCGTGTCAGGACGATGTCTAGCTTCCCTCATTTCTGCCTTTGTTTATTTGACCAGAATCTCAAGGGTTTGGGATCCTGCTGGTGCTTCCACAGAGGCGCCCAGTTCCTCTGGGGGGTTCGCGGCTTCACTCAACCCGGGTCTCCTTCCAGCAGAAGGGGCTGCTGCATCAGGAGCTTCCCAAGGTGGGGAGGAGGGCCCCCCACAGATAAAGAGGGGCTCCTGCACGTGGACAGGCGGCAGGTAGACTCTTACCTACAGAAAGATGCCTCCAGACACAGAAGTCCCGGACACAGGCAGGAGGAGCCGCCTGGGCACGAGCCACGGGACGCAGCCTGGGCTCGGGGCCACGTCTGTGCCCACAGCTGGCCGCCAGCGCTCCAGCATTGCACCCAGTGCTTCTTGCTGGCAAAACGTGCAGGCTCACAGCTCCTGCCCCATGCTGGTGAAAGATACTGGTAAACAGGGGATACTCAGCTTTCCAGCAACGCATCCTGGTGCCTCACAGATGCTAGCCATTGCGGCCACTGGGGTTGGCGGGAGAGCGTGGGGACGGGTGCAAACCAACACGACAAACGTCTGCCCCATGCAGGGCTCGCAAACATGACCTTCCATTTGGTGAAAACCCTCGTTTATACAGTCCCGAATAAAGTGACAAATATTCAGTACAATCATCTGTTAAATCATGAAGGAGTTGGGGTAATGGGAATGGAGGGTAATTGAGAGGGGGTTTTTCTGGTTTTGTGTTATTTTTATTACTTTTTTGTAAATCAGTTCATTTAATAAAATCTGATTCAGAATGTGTGAGGCTCTTTTGAATGGAGGGTGAGAGGCCAGGAGACCAGCATGTCAGGAGCACACCCCCACCCCCACCCCCAGGGTACCTCCCAGGCCTTGGCTAGGTTCCCTGCAGACAGTAGGGTGGTCACTAATCAATTCATTGGAGGTGGGAAGGGGGTAGGGGATGGGAGTTTGGGGGGTGAGGCCTGTGGGATGCACCCTAGAGACAGAGCTGGTGTGGAGAGGGCCTTTTCCTCCATACTCCAAGGCTGAGCCATGAGCCACATACCCTGGGAGAGCACCCCTGGGAGACCAACGCTGGAGACCACTCCTGGGAAGCACCCCCTTGCCACAGGGCCTAGTCAGAAACATTGAAGGGCACACGCAGAAATTCAGAGGAATTCACTGCTTTTAGCTTTGTCTATTCATGTCCGGTTTTTAAGGTCATAACTGAACTTATCAAATCAATGTTTGCTTTCTAAGAAAGCTATTTCTCAGATTCGACTTTAAACCCATTTGAGTTAACACAATGGCAGTGTAAGTCCTACTCACTTCTGTCTTTGAACTCGGCAAAGTTTTCGCCTATCCACCCAGGATGGATGAGTTCACTTCTCACTGCATTCAGACCTCGGGGCCACGGACCCGGGTGCCTGACACACGGATGGGCTGAGAACACGCACCTGAGCGCCCTGCACACCCAGGCACACAAAGGCTGCAGGTAAAACCGAAACTACCCCCCAATACCACAGGGCTCCCACCACTGAGCACCGATTAAAAGCCAGCAGGCCCAGGAAAGACACCAGAAACAGAATGAGAGAGAACCTTGGCCAGCAGTAAACTATTTCTATTTACATTAACAGATAGGCCAGTGGCTGAGTGTCCCTTTAAAACTGGGTCCCCTGCTTAATCCCCAGGCAGTCAAGGACTCGGGGTGGCCAACGAGCACTCAGGGCGGAGAGCGAGGTCAGAACTCAACCAACCGGGAAAGACACACAGTGAAACCCCACGTTAGAGGGGGCTGGGGTGACACATACAAAGGATGAAGAAATGGCAGGAAATGCCAGAAGTTTTCTAATTGCTGGCACAGTTCAGATGAAAGAAATTAAATAAATTTTGCACTTTTCTAAGCAGATTTAATTGCCATGCATCTCATGAGAATGCCAACTTAATCCACACCATAAACCAAAATAAAAAATAAAATGCACTTTCTATCTAGTAGTGGTTTAACGTTCTGAGTGTCTCTCTGGCTAAAAATATTACCACTGATGATTAATAGACACTATTTTAGGGTAAAGTTCAGGCTAGATTACTCAGTATAATTATTTTAATTAAATCCATTAGCATATCTTTATATAAGATTGCAAGAGCTATCGATGATACAAAATAAGTTTTTCTTGAATAATGTATGAAGCAATTATTAATTTACATATTTCTCGAGAAAACGCATGTTAAAATGATCCTGTTTGGAGGTTCTGAGCTAAACCATAGACGGTCCACAAGTTCTCCTTTCAGACTCTAGTGTTCGTCTTTGGAAGATCTGGGCACAGCCTCTGGAGAACCAGAACGCTCTGATGCAGGAAAACGTAGCAAACCTGGCGTGGCCAACAGACGCCCCTGGACCCGAGCTCGTGCCCCTCACGGGGAGTGGGCGAAACGGGCAGGTGGCCGGGCGCGAGGGCTCCACGCGGCGCAAGGGTGGAACCACAGCTCGTGGAGATCGAGGGTCCCGCTGAGCCGCCCGCTGCGTGCATCGCAGGGACCCAGAACAGTCCAACGGAAAGGTGCCGAGGACAGCGCCCCTTACTCCTTACACCCCATTAAATGCAGACGGCCTACGTCCTTAGCAACTCACATCCAAAGATACCTCTTCTCTTTGTCATCAAGCTCCTTTAAGTGGGCTCTCGCCTTTAAAATAGCCTTTGCATCTCTGCCGCCAGCGCCACGGTCATTCAAGCGCAGGTGACAAGCTAGCAGCTGGAGGGAAGCGTTCCTATGAGCAGTCTCCTCAGATACCGCAAGTTTCAGACCAGAAAGAGAAAAGTACAAACTTATTATGATGGTTTTCAATGAACCCAGCACAAGCTCCTCTACTTAGAAATGGACTTGTTACGAAAGCGGGATCTCAGATGTGTGTGGACACCCACATTCACTGCAGCAACATTCGCAACAGCCAAGGGGTGGGAGCGGCCCAGGTGCCCATCGGTGGACGGACCGATCAAGCAGATGCGGCGTATAGAACGCTCCACAGGGTGCGTTCAGCCAGCCTTCAGAGGAGCCTCTGACGCCTGCTGCAGCACAGATGGGCCTCGAGGACCTGCTGAGCGAAACATGCCAGTCACAGAAGACGGGCGCTGTGGGATTCCCCTTATACGCCACAGAGACCCAAAGTAGAAGAAGGGTGGCTGCCAGGGGCTG